TTTGGTGAAAATGGAGCACAGAGAGCCCAAGGATCAGTAGCCCAGAAATCAGGACTTATGCAAAACTAGATGCCTATTTACCCCGTGCAATTACAATAGTCCCAATTCTGCAACTGCTAGTGGATAGGAAGATCACTGTACATAAGCTGAGCCCCACTGCTTTTCACATGGTTCTGGCTTGGCACAGCAGTCCACCCGTGGGCAACCCAACGCTGAGGAGAACTTCAATTTGGGTGTTCAAGCAGCCATTTGGGCATGCAGCTCCATGCACATTCTGAGCCTGGCATTTGGTTTGGACAATTCGGTCATTCAAACTTTTTGACATAAGCATATTTACTGTGTACCACACTCACTATATGGTCAGAGGCAAAACTAATAATCATGATGTGTGCTGCGTTGACAGCTTTGGAAACCACAATCCTCTAGCTGAAGCATATGGACAGCAGCAGTGATGGCTTCCCTAACACTGTCCAGCCCCTGGTCCCTAGAAGACCACTACAAAGGACAAGAATACTGATTAGCTTCCACACTCAACCTGTCTTTGGCTTCTTTGCTGCCAGTTCTGGAGATGGTTCTGTAACATGAACCCTGGTCCAACTAGACTGTGACTGCAACCTCAATTCACACTGGTTGCAAAACTGCCACCAGTTGGTAACAAGCTTCACTCTTCATTGTTACCTACCTACCCAATTCTGAATCATCATCATAGAGGTAGAAGACTAGCTATTCCAGAACCATTTCCCAGACACCTTTCCGTTCTACAGATTTCAAATGAAAAAATAATTATTTTTAAATACTGCTGTTAACTATCTTATTTTTTTTTCCTTTTACCTACAGTATGCTCACTGGATCACTTCTGGACTGAGGTGCATGTCCAGTTTATCATGTATAATAATATTTTGCACTTCTATAATGCTTTACATTTTGAAAGCACTGCATGAACATTAGCTAACTAATGATTGTGCATTTCAACCTTAAGGTTCCACATTATAATGTCTATATACTTGATGGCCAAGATATTAGCCCCTGAGAATAGCTTTATAACAGAAGCACTCAAATCAATGCCATCAGTAGATGTGGCTTTATTTAGAAGGAATTAGTATAGAAAGAGTGCCTCAAATTATTTATCTTTTCTATTTATAATAAACTGGCTCTTTGGATAAATTTATAACTATATTAAGAATACATTCGTTAACCATGGCATCCATTTTGGAAAGACTTATATTTACAAACTAGGAAATGTAGGTTCTGATATTGAACAAGCGGGTATGAGAATCATGTAAAGAAAGTGTCCCTGATTGGGCACCCTGGCATACATGAATAGTGCTGTTGACATCACCTCACATGGAATGAATCTACTTGTATAAGTAACAGTCGGAGGCCTAATGGGCACCTATACACGTGCAGCGAGGCTGCTCCGACATGCTGTAATTACTGCACGTTGGAGCAGATTCGATTAATTGAGTCTGATGGAGCGTGGTAATTACTGTACTCCAGTAGACTCCAGCATGCAGTATCAGTATCCCCGCACTGAAAAATGGCAGCAGGGGCCCTTTAACTAAAGCTTGTTCAATGAGATTTAGTTAAAGCGCCCCTGCTGCCATTTTTCAGCATGGGGTCACTGATACATGTGATGCTCTGGGTGCTTTAATTAGAGAGGCTCTTGAAGCTGATCTAATCAGAGCACACTCCCCCCTCCCAACTCCTGGAGCACGTCTATAAATGACCATGATGCCCTGTATTTATTTGTTCTGATAAACTGCTATTTAAATTCTCTTTACAAATACAGTAACTGTGTCTAAGGACTAAGGCATCCTGTCTTGAGAGATTAACAGAGTCAGCCCTATGCAGTTTGTAAAATCTGCTCCTGGGCTGATGCCTATGTATCCAGTAGCTGATTCTACAAAGCTCTGCAGCAAAGCACATCCACACTCAGGGCATGCATCTATCCCTGAATGCCCAAGTGTGTGCTAAGCCCCTTTGTGAATAGTTGCTAGCTCACTAGTGAGACTCGGACAGTAATAATTTGGTTAAAAGAAAGTCAAGCAAGCTAGAAACAATTCAAAATCAAGTAGATTCTAACTCACAACTCAGTACAGATATTTGATACTGCAGATATTGCATCCAAAGAGAAAGATTTCAGTTCGAAATAATAAAATTACAATATCTGTGCAAAACATGTACGCTTTTCAGAGTGCAGGAAACTGTTATATTCACTACATTTTTCATTACAGTTGCTATTTGTTACATAGTGAATTCAGTCTTGGTTGTCACCATATTTTTCATAGATAGAATGAAACACTTTTGCAATAATTTGACAGAAAAATGGAATTTCTTCCTGACTGAAGGAATATGAATTTTGAAAGTTAATAATAACAAGATTCTTGTAAGTAAAAAGTGCAAATGTGTGTGCATAACTTCCAAACTTTTGACGCTGCTTCTATCTGCTGGGAACTTCAAAGCATCCTTCATTCTGAGATGATTCACCAGTTGAATAGTATGTTTTGACCAAGTGTCATAAAGTAAATTTGACTGCAGCCTCCTGATTGTACAGACGCAAAGAACACCTTGAAAAGGAAAAAGGACAGACCACTGTCAGTTTACATTTATGAGAGGTTTTTTAAACATATTTGACAGCTTCAGGACAAAGACAAATCAGAATACTATTCTAGATAAAAACCTATTCAATTGTAATTCTTTGAGGTTCATTTTTTAAAGCAAAATTAATTGTAAGTGCTTACAAGGATATATCCTGGTAATATGTTATGGTGCATACATTTTCTACTAGAAAGGAAATCAGGGCACATTATCAAACAATTTACTACATTGTTTCTGCATACAATATTCTAAATATATCAACGAAACAAATAAGCAACAGTGCACCTATAGAGATAGTTACCGTGTATCCGCACTAATTTAGTCACACACAAATGAGGAAATACCTGCAATGCCTCTAAGATCACTGTTTGGTACTTTCCTCAAAATGTTGCTCTAAATTACACCTTCTTGCACTTACATTTAAGAGGCAATTTTCAAACTAGGCATTACCAGAGTATGGTAACTATTCTCAGATGAGAGCTACAAAGCTGGTTAAAGCTGACTTTTCACTTGCGGTAGAAAGCAGGTAAAATACAGGGCTAGGACCTGTCTGGCTTCAGATGTGGGATTCTGTCTATAAAAGGCAGTTCATGGGATCAGCACCTATGATTGCTTTTGATTGAGCAGTTATGCCAAAGTAAGAAAAATCCACCATCAATAACATGCTAAAGAAAAAAAATAAATAGGTGAATCTTGTTTTTCTTATTCAACTATTAACCATATCTGTACCTTGTCATTTCTTTCACACAGAAATTTTAGCTTCTGTGCTTTCTTGTGCATAAATACGCCTTCCAGATTTCCTGTTTCCACAGAGCGCAGTTCAATAGCTTTCTCTCCCCAGCCCATGGCCTGGTTAGACTGAAGATAAGCTAAAATGAAAAAAGCCACATTTTACAGATTAGTAAAACAAAGGGGATTCAAATATTTGTCTGCTGTTAGTAAAATGGCAGGACCATTTACCCCCCGTAAGCATATTAAAGATTGCAAAGCTAGACACACCCAGTATTCAGCTTTTAACTATACAGTGGAGTCCAATTAGATTGTATCTTCAAAAAAGGAAATCACATCCACTCCAACAAAGCCTATACTGAAATACTGCATAGAAAATAGATGGTAAAAGGTTAGCTCCTGGCCTTAGGGGCAAATCCTTAATAAACAGACTTTACAAATGTGATCCACTCAGGAAGGTTTGTCAAGTCTATAGAAGCTCCCCCACAAACACAGCAGGACGACCAACCTATACAGTTACTCTGTGGTGCTTTGCACTGTCTGGGGCATTGCACCGTTTGCATCCGTTTTACCTTTTTCCTATAATATTGCCTTTTTGATCAGTGCTTCAGTGTGCACTGTGCTCTTATTTTAGCCATTTCTTTTACCATTTCACTATCTCTTATTCTTAATCCTCTGTAAAAGAGCACAGTTTTGTGGTTTAACAAGGTAAGAAATGCACTCTTCACTCCGCACTCTGATTATATATTTTTTAACTTCTTTAGCTTACCCAAGAGACTAGAGCCTCTCTTTTCATTAAACGGAGCTGCATACTAATGTGTGCTATGGATATTAAAAATGCAAGCTAGAAGTCTAGAAAACATCATTCAGCGCTAGATTCTGACTTCCCTTACAGCAATATTTATCTGAGGTAATTATACTTACCCCATTGGAGTGTCTCTGACTTTACACTGGTGGAAATGAAACTAGAATTGGACATACCTGTCATTCACTATAATGATTGCCATTTAAAAAAGGTCTTAACAACAGAGTTGTACTTAAACTCTCTGCATTTGTTTCGTTTCTAAGTAGTTTTTTTGATTTCCATAATTACAATAAATTCGTGAACATCATATACTAGCAATACATGGCAATAATGCTAGTGCCAGGTGATTTTAACTGTAGCAACCTTGCTCATGTAACATAGCATTTAGATTACTATAATAACATATGCTGTGGTGATTAGGTAGTATATGGAAAATAAATGCTGTATTTTTGCGGATCACTTTCTGCCACCCCAAAAAGACATCTATCTCCTTTGGGAAGGCAGAGTGAAGGAGAAAATAATTCTTTTTTAACCAAACTGTTCAGATCAGTTTCCTTATTTAGGATGTGCACCCCCCGCTTTCAATGGCTAATATTGGTGTATGGTAAGCAAATAAATTAAGGTAAGTGTTGTCAGCAAAGGGCTTGATGATTTCAAGCCCCTTCTCATTTCACTGATATCTCTGGCAAGACTCCTACTGCCAAAGGAGTATGACCAAGATTTCACCCTTAGTTTTATCTCCCGATGCTGGAAATAAAAGGTAACTGGGAAGCTGAGAGCAGCATTTCTCCGAATCAGGGTGGGGAAATGATATGGCAGGATGTCAAAAATACATCCAAGGGCAGCTCTTCAGCTGGTGCACACTGTTTTAACTTCATTAAAGTCAATGAGTCCCAGTTTACATCTATCTATCGGTGGTTAATTGAGAGCAGTAAGTGGTTCTGGAACTGACAGTACCTTGTGGCATACAGACTCGGGAGAGATTTGGATAGTCCATTTTGTCTCATACATTTGATCATATCCTTCACTGAGATTCACTGGAAAACTTAGCAGTTCGTAACACAAAGAAAATGCCTGACTTGGCTTGCAATGGGATATGGTCTGTGTAGCATCAAAATAGCAGGGGTAGCTTAAACCGGCTGTGAATTTCTGGCAGGCAGGGAGCTTGAGGGTACAAGGTTTCCCATCATCCCTGTTTCTCCTTGGGCTCCTGGCAGATGTTACACTTAAGACGTGATTAATCATTTAATTGTGTCTTAAGTAGCAGCCACACATTCATGCAATGAATGATGCGATAGAACAGGGGAAAAGCCACAGCATTATTATGCATATTTTGTGCAATAATGTTGTGGCTGGTTCCCATTGGGCCATACATGAAATATGTGGGATTCCCAGGCCTGGAAATGCCCTGAGAGCCTCAAAGGGCTCATGTGCGCTCCCACAGCTGGGAGCATACAGCAGCTGACTGGTGAGCCCAGCCACAGGGGTGCACCACAGCCCTTCAAGGCTCAAATTTTGGGCTCCCCTTGGCACCAGCAATAGAGCATGGTTATGGGACTGGGGATCAGATCCCAATCATATGTGGCAGGGCAGTAGGTGAAATTACTGGGATCGTGGATCACATCCCATCGCACCTTTAACTGAACGTCAGGGGCCCAGGCTACCACACTAGAGCCAGGATGGTAAATACTACCCTGCATTCGATATTTTTTGTGACAAACTTTCATCCCCTTCATTGAAGGGCTGCTTTACATGGGGAGGCTACTGCAATATAAGCTGAGGTGTGGATTTGCAGTATACTAGCTAGTCCACACAAACTCCCTGTGTACCCACTATTACTGTACATTAAATGGATCAAACTGCAAAGGCACTTGAGAGCAGGGGTGGAAAAAATACGGCAGATTCAGCCCACAGAGGGACTTTGTCTGGCCTGTGGCATGTCCCTTAGTTCTGCCTGGCAGGCTAAGTGCACTGCCCCAGCCCCAGCCTGTCCCATGCAGGGGGTCCTGGTCCCTGCAGCACCCACCTTGCACCTGCCCACAATAAGTGGCAGTGGTGGCCAGGCAGAAGCTGCTGCTAAGCGTGGGAAAAATGTGGGACCTGGCAGTTGGTATGGCTGCCTCCCCCTTGCCACTGCCGTGCCTTTCTTGCTGCTGCTGCCTGAAGCCTGCCCTGCGGCTTCTCCCCACCACCTCCACTGCCAGCAGCATCTCTGGGCAGCGTTGGCCCGACAGGGCAGCGGTGACGGGGGGGAGCTGCAGGGCAGCCCCAGTGGCAGGCTCTGGGGAGTGGCAGCAAGAAGGACCCAGTGGCAGTGAGGAGGAGGCGGCCGCATCCACTGCTGTGTTCCCCTTTTCTCCCACGCCCAGAAGCAGCTTCTGCCCAGCTGATGTCACCTGCTCCAGACCTGGGCCACTGCTGCTGAAGCCAGGCAGCAGCTCCAGCCCCTCCTCAGGGTAGAAGGGTGGCCCAAAGGTGGCGCAGGTGGTAGCCGCAGCTGAGTTGTCTCTGCTGAGGCTGCCACCTGCCCGCATCCATGCCAGCTCCCTGTCTTCCGTGGTCCCATCCCACATAGGGAGGTTTGGTGAACTGGGGTGGGGAGGGATGGGCTTGCTGTCACAGCCCACAACAGCTCCCCCAAATCCTCTACATGGTTCACAGGCCCAAACAATTGCTAACCCTTGCTCTAGGGCACATCTGCACTGTTGTGCCTGGATGTGCCAGCTAGGACATGCTTCTATAGTGGCAAAGACATGCCTTTAGCATATACTAAGAGTGCCCACATGGGGAGTTAGTGCATGGTAGTTCACACATTGGTCTACTTTGCAATTACTTTCCCATACAGACATGCCTGAAAGTGCCAAACAGGCTTGATATTCCATTGATTTTAATGGCACATCACTTCCTGACACCATCAGATGAGTTAAGGAGCAGCGGAGGTGGATTAATGTAGACTGAAAGCCAGCTCTATTATGCATACAACAATAGACCCTGGGCTTTTTAGATAGCAGGATTCTCTATTAACTTATCAAGAAAAAAAGCGTCAGGCAATTAACATGGTTCTTAGATAAAAATCAGTACCTAATGGTGTGCTCTACTATGTTAGAATTAATTTCCACAATTGAAAAAGTGACCTTCACAACCCACAAGCTGCTCAAATGTTCATGTGTTGTGGGACTTCCTTTCTCTTTCATGCATTTTTATATTAATTATGGAGGTCAGGACTGGAAAGAAACTGCGGAGATAATGAGATGGAACAATACTCGCTGCAGTAGTTTGGCTAGGATTAATATTCCCCCCAGCCCTGGAAAGTCTTTGGGAGTTGGTTAGCAGGAAGGAAATCTCTGCAGGGATCTTTTTGTTCTATCAGGGTGCCCCCACCACGGAAAATGCCACAGTGCCCATTCAAAGCTGTCAGATTCAGAGGAGACTGATGCCCCGGTGTGGGCTCTGGTTCCCACCTCTGACCATGGCGACCCCAAGCTCCTTAGGTGGAGTTTGTAGAAACATAATTAGCTGCAGCCTGTATTATCTTTATAAATGAAATCCCCCCAAAGTAGAGAGGGACAATTTGTACTCTCTTTGCTTTGCCAAACACAGTCTGCTCATTCCCTCACCCCATGAATCCTTGCAGAAGAGGACATGGCCAAGCCAGAGACATAAGAAGAAGGGGGCTGAGGCACATGGGAGTTGGTCCTTTAACAAAGAGAAGAGGAAATTCAAACACAGGAGAGTTCCTCTCCATGCTTAGGCTTTGCTGGGAGGATATTCAGGCCTTACATGTCATTAGTTACCAGAAATTCTCGCTCCATTAATTTGATATAAAATGTAGATGTTACCTTTATGGCTCTCCCTCACTGTGCAAGAGGCTTTCCTGTAATGCTGACATAGCAACCTCTTAGGAGGTGCTCACAACTTGACCCTTAGAAATGTTGGTTCTAGATGACCAGTCAATCAGAGGCACCAGGATCTGCTCTTGTAGTTCATCTTTTAAAGATCAGAAATACAATCCCACATGTTTAAAGGCTTTGCAGGTTGTTGGCACAGCCTGCCATCTATCATACTCCACATCCAGAAGTACAAAAGGCTACACCAAATATCTCAAATTGCTTTGGGAATCTCTAAGGCTGCATTTTCTGCTACGGATTTGGGTGACATGTACAAACGCCTTGAGGCCCTCCTCTCACGGTTTGTACTGTCAAGAGAATTGCTAATGAATAGTCTTCTCTCCTGACCTGATTCTTATTCACTCACATAAGGTGCTAGGGCTTGAGGGTGCTGGATCCGGTATTCTGTATATACATACACAAACTAACAAGCATGCATGCTCATCCC